ACTTTTTTAAATTTCATGCTTTATTTTTTGATAATATGCATATCTCTTAATTAAAATATTGTTCTTAACAAATTCAGTTAGGGGTGATACAGTTTTTTGTGTTCGAAAAAGTTATAGAGGAGGATGTACCTAGAGGATATAATTTTTATGACCTTTCATAAACGCTAACTATCCGCAACCCTTTTTAGTTATAAATGCCTTAAAATTATATAGTAAATAAAAAATATTGGACTGATTTCATTACACTTAGATTATGTGCTTTCTTTTAATGTAAAGTACTATATATGTTAACAAAACAGCCCAGGTAAGATCCAGTGCTACATCGCTTCATTCTAAAATAAATTGATTGTTCTGATATACAAGTACTAATGTATTAATAAATATCACAAAATTATAAATAAGAATTTTATCAATATTATGATTATATTTAATGAAATTTGCAATTAACAAACCTGAAACTATTTGCGTTTTCATATCATTTACTTAGTAATGCAAATAGTGCGTGTTGTAATTAATTACATATGTATATTTCCATTAACGAGTTGATATTAGTATCGTTGATATCTGATTTTCATTTAATGCAGTGTGTTGTAATTTGATAAATATAAAAACACAAACAAAGACCGTAATAAAATACCTTTCGTTATTTATATCTGAGTTCAAAATAGTTTTAAAAATGGTTTAATCACAATGTCTCACAAACGTTTTAATAGGAAGCTTTTCTGGCATCGAAAATTACAAAACCCATTGCAGTAGTTTTTGTTTAAAGCGTGCTTTGTTTCTCACTCCTTAAATACTAGTATTATATTATTTGTTTTATTGTTCAAATTGCTTTTCACTCATGTCACACCAAATAATAATAATTACCATATCAGAAATCAGATATTAGAAATACATAAGGAATGAATAAGGAATATCAACAACAAAACAAATACAACAAAATTCTCGGCAATAAAACAATAGGGTTATTTACGAGTTCCAGTAACGTGCTTAATATAACCGAGTAACGTATTAAAAGTGCAACGCAGCAACAACAAAATACATGTCGAGTAATGCTAGTCAAGCATTTGGTTTGACTAACATTTACATTCCACTTTTACTCCTTTTTCAATGTTGCCATCTTTCCTATACATAAGAAAAAAGTTTACTCCGATAATATAGTTATACCAAAGAAGACAAAGAAATGAAACTAAAAAGAAATTTTGAATCATTGTCCCTCTTTGTCTAATATCACAAACAAATATGTTATGGGATTTTTAACATAAAAAAACCAAAACATACAACAAAATTTCTCGAAAAATGCGCTTATTTTAGCAAGCATCGTGGTGAGTGGGGGCTGGGTGGGCAAAATAGCAACACCGGGTGGAGAAAATCATCACATACTATTGTGTAGCATTAGGCTTTTTGTTTTTGTACTGCGTGATATTTTCACCTCAATACTCAAAATTTTGAATATTATTTGAATTATCCAGAAGATTATATACACAATTTCTCGTGCAACTCTCAGTTTCTTTTCTTTATCGTCTTTTGTTATACTAAGCATTTTACATGGGCAGCATTTACAATTTATTTTTGATTAATATTAAAACTTCACGCTATTATTTCAATTTGAATTTTAAATAAATACGTGAAGTTTTAATGAAAAATTATTTAACATTTAATTATATTTTCCATATGCTGCTTACCATTAAACCATTTTATCCTGTTTAGACTATTTTTTACTAAAAAGCTAACAATTTTGCTTTTTTCAATTAACTTCGACATAAGTTGGTATTTATTTAAAATTCTCAAAACAAAACAAAAGTTTTCACACTAACTTACAAAATCATCAAAAAACAGCTGATTTTAACAGCTGTAGTTAACAAATCGACAGAAAACAATCGTTGTCGCCGCTTGCTCTATTAAAAAAAAACGATAAATATTCTAGAAAATAAAAGCATGCATACATTTACACGATGTTTTCGCTTTCATTCCTTTAAGCACGTATATACACACTTTTTTGTGAATACCAGCGATTTTGAGGAAAAATCAAAATTGTTTGGATTTTGAACAACACCTTTTTCAAAAATTCCTTAAGAGTCCTTAACCCTGGACGTATAATCATATTTCTACTAATGTTAAGAATAATCATACGTAAAAATGACGTGCAATTTTCAGAGTTTATATTTTGCCGTTATATTAATTTAAATGTGTGCAAGTTTTTTACAAGTTTTTAAAGAAGTATTTATTTATTCAAATTAAAACAAAACAGTAATACTTTCAAACACATTTTTTAAATAAACATAATAAATATAATATGCCAATGATTTTCACTTAAGAAGGAATTGCATTTTTCAAAATTATGTATTAAGGGTAAATTTTCAATATTTCTTAATATTTTTTTTTTATTTTTATTTAGAATAAATCAAAAAATAATAATAGAAACAAAAAAGTAAATGAAATTTATATATACTTATAAAATGAACAACTTAAAGTTAGCTTATACAAATAGCAAGTCATATTGAGATCGTCATAAATGTTACGAAAATAATTAAAATTATTATAGGAACTTTGGTTCAAATTAGCTAATTTTAGTTATATAATAATAATTAATCCTATGCAGAAATACCCTTAAAGCATGTATCACGATTGTGCTCTCTACAAATCGGCTTTTTACAAGAACTACATCTAATGTTTGTCATTCTTTTTTTCTTATATGAACAGAATGCACAATATGTTCAACTAGAACTAGATTTTCCACCTTTCTGATCATTTTCTTCATCTTTTTGTAATATTTCAACAATATTAAATCTCTTTGATTCCATTTCTATTAAAACTTTACTGAAATTTGAAAGAAATAAAAGTTTTTCAAAATATTTTATTAGCCATAAAAGTCACACAAAG